GATCTCAGTGGTATTCCCCAACTATACCTGAAACCCTGAACCCCTGAAACCCTAAACCCTGAAACCCCAAACCCTAAGCCCTAAACCCCGAAACCCTAAATCCGATAAACCCTAAACCCTTCGAAATCCCCGAAACCCTAAATCCTAAATCCTAAATCCTCTAAACCCTAAACCGTCGAAATCCCCGAAACAGGCAGCGTTCCAGGAAGCCTTGGAGGACCTGGAAGACTCCAAGCCCGCCGCGACAGGGGCTCAGGATATTTTTTTCTTTAGGGTTGAGGGCGGGTCTGGGAGTTAAGGAGATTTTATCGGGTTTAGTATCGGGTTAGAGGGTGGGTTTAGGAGTTTTGGGAGATTTGATAGGGTTTAGGGTGGGTTTTGGGGGGTTTTGGGGTCTGTGGTACAGGGTTCAGGGTTCAGGGTGGATGTAGGGTTCAGGAGGTTTAGGGCTTTTAAATGGGGTTTGGGTGGGTTGAGGGTATAAAAGTGTAGGGTATAGGCTTCAATTTCGGTTGTTGGGCTTGGGGTTGGCCGTGCGGAGTTTCAGGAAAGCTTGCGTGTCCGTGTCCTGTCGTGTTTTGTTGTTTTGTCACTATGACCCTTACCCTCGAAGGACTCAAATTTTAAGGCCTTCGGGCCCAAAGGCCCTGTTATATCAGGCTTTTGGGCGGTTGTGATGCTAAGGGTTAACTTCCCTCAAGCCAAGGCGTCAAAAGCGTCTCGTTCAGCTCGCGCAGCAAGTGCAGCAAAAGAGGCCGCGGCAACTTTTCTCTATGCCTTCACATCTATAGCTAGCTACCCAGTGCATCTGTTTGCAGCGAGGACCTGATCTACCTATAGTCTCCATTGTAGTTCCTTTTTGGGGATACTTTATAAGATCCTTAATATATATATATATATATATATACTTGGTTAAACCAAAAAAAGGAACTACAATGGAGACTATAGGTACGACTCTGTTGCAATGAGGGGGCCCGGGTCTTGCGTCCTTGTGCAAACAGGGGGAGACCTGTGGAGTCTCGCACGAACCAAGTAGCAGAGATGCAGGAAGAGTATTTGCCGGTTCAAGACCAGCCAAAAGATGATGTTAAGTGATGTTGAGAAGAGGGAGAGAGAGAGTATCGAAGTGGATGGTGCATCCATTTCTCTGTTGCTAGATGAAGCCGAAAACCATAAACAGGAGGTTCACGTGGAGACACACAGCGAGAGAGACAAGCGCTCAACCGTAGCATTCTCCAAAGTTTCGAAGCAGCGAAGCCATGAATGCCAGATCTTGAACTTGAAACCCTGATACCCGATGATTCACATTGGCACTCAGAGCTTCTATAGGGTTCAGGGTACCTTGGCCCTAAACCCCGCGCCCTGAACCCTAAACTGAATGAATCCGAAGTTTCAGACTGGAAGACCCAACAGCCCCCAACATCCTGTCCCGCCTTGCAATGTAGGCTTCGCGAGCTGCTCGCAGAGCGCGGCCAGGTCCTGTTTCCGAAATACTAAGTTACGATTTAACCAGGTAGCCTAGTGTTTAACCTGGTGGTTTGCTGATTTCGAGCTTGCGGCTGGGGGGGGGGAACCTCAGCCAGCGGGGATGGAGCGAAACTACCTGCGGTGTTTTCAGTTCTCAGTTTTTGGGCGTGTGGTTTTGCGCAAATCCGAAGATTTTGTGTTTGTTGGGGAGTGGTTGGATGCTACGACAGTGGGACAGTGGGACTGTCGGGGTTTAAATTCAGGAGGGGTTCGATCCTGCGGGGCAACATGCACTTTCTTATGGTCGAGTGTCCGAATCGCAACATGCTCCTATTTACTCTTCGAACAGGTTTTGTATGTTGCATGTGTTTGTGGAAATTTGCATGGCAAAACACCACCGGAACTGTCATAGGTGGCCAGATATTTAACAGCATGTTTGATCCCGGGATAGCACACAGTTTGCAGTCACATTTTCTTGGTTGGTCGGAGATTCGGGCTTCGGGTTTTGAAGAGGACATCTATGCCCCCCCTCAACCCAGGGTTTAGGCCTTGGCCCTAGTGCTTTTAATGAGAGATGAGACCTGCCCTCCACCCTGCAGCGCATCGACTGGCTGAACGTCTCCAACAAGCTTCGGGCCATGTTGCTTGGACATTCGAATGTTGATCATGGCAGTGGTGGTAGTGGTGGTGGTGGTAGTAGTAGTTCTTGTAGTAGGAGCAGGAGTAGAGGTAGGAGTAGTAGTAGTAGTAGTAGTAGTAGTAGTAGTAGTAGTAGTAGTAGTAGTAGTAATAGTAGTAGGCAGCGACCTGGTCGTTTGCCCACCCCTTGCTTCCTCCTGTGCCCCTTCGCTCGCCCAGGCCCCCATGCGTTCTGCCGGAGCATCCATGTCCCAACCATGAAAACGTCCACCCATACCCCATCCGTTCTGCCAGAGCATCCATGTCCCAACCATGATAACGTTTCCACAAACTCCATCCGGTCCCCTCAGAGCATTCATATCCCAACCATGATAACGTTCCCACAAACTCCATCCGGTCCCACAGAGCATCCATGTCCCAACCATGATAACGTCCACCCATACCCCATCCGGTCCGACAGAGCATTCATATCCCATCCATGATAACGTTCCCACAAACTCCATCCGGTCCCACAGAGCATCCATGTTCCAACCATGATAGCGTTCCCACAAACTCCATCCGGTCCCAGGCAGCATCCATGTCCTGACCATGATAACGCTCCCACAAACTCCATCCGGTCCCAGGCAGCATCCATGTCCTGACCATGATAACGCTCCCACAAACTCCATCCGATCCCACAGAGCATTCATATCCTAACCATGATAACCTCACCACAAACTCCATCCGGTCCCAGAGAGCATCCATGTTCCAACTATGATAGCGTCCCCACAAACTCCATCCGGTCCCACAGAGCATCCATGTCCCAACCATGATAACGTCCACCCATACCCCATCCGTTCTGCCAGAGCGTCCATGTCCCAATCATGATAATGTCCACACATACCCCATCCGTTCTGCCAGAGCAATGGAGGCGAAGCAATTGCTGCTCTTCCAGTCGCCTTTCGAGTATTCCCAATAAGTTGCAAAACCACAAACTCCGCAACGAAACTGGAAGCCAGTGCCACGCGCTTTCTTGAACGATTGCGGCAGGGCACCGACGGCAGAAAACACTGCCCTGGCCGACGTTTTTGTGTCACGACTCTCAACCCTGCCGTGAACCTAGACTCGCGTGCACCACACTAAGCCTAATCGCAACTGTGCAGCTCCGATGTAATTTCTGGAACCTGTCTGAAGCCCGAAACACTTGTAAATAACGAGTAAAATCAAGCTAACTCACAAACAAAGGTGGGCAAACGATCTGCCCACTGCCTAGTAGTAGTAGCAATAGTAGTAGCAATAGTAGTAGTAGTAGTAGTAGTAGTAGTAGTCGTAGTAGTAGTAGTAGTAGTAGTAGTAGTATCTTCGCGGAGGTTGAATGGAAGATTTTTCGAATCGTTCTGCCGGCTGTCCAGCGAAGAAGATGCGCCCAAACTCGCGATTGTGCATGAAATTCTGCTGAATGAAAAGAGCTGTGGTCATGTTTGGTACTGGCGCAAGGCAAGCTCTTTACACTTGAGCCTTAAAGCGGGCCAAATTCAATGCAAGTTAGTACCAATTACTTGAAGTAACAGAATCGTCATGTTTGGGAGCTAATGTCTGTAGGATCATTTTGCAGACTCTTCCCAGTATCTTATATCGAGTGCCTTAGCTATTGACTGTCTTTACGTAGGGGCTGTTCATGAATTCGGTTTCACCCAAGTCGAGATGACTTACAGGAGACTACTTCCATTCCCGAGCTGTCTCGGCTCAATGAAAATCCCAGTATAGCCCTAGTTTGTATCCTTGCACCCCAATGTTAGCCTCCTCGGCGTAGACATTGAAGTCCGCTAACTAGGTAACACACCAGAGTGGATTTTGATGCAGACATGCGGAACCCCTCAGCTGACAGGTTCCCAGTGTTAAGGGTTTGTGTTTTGTGGTTCAGCGCATGAAAAGTTGTTATTGGCAGACCTCGAACCATATGCCGCGCCTGGATTGTCCGAGGGTGAGCGCCGAAACCCTAAACCCTAAAGCGTGTAGTTCTCGCTCTGCCTAGCCTGGTGAAGGCCTGTTGTTGCTGCGACGACCGAGGCCTGAGATGGCATCGTTCGCTCCTCGGAATCTGCCCTGTGCACTATCATACTGCTTAGGGTTTTGGGGTTTAGGATTTAGGGTTTTGGGGTTTAGGGTTTAGGGTTTCTAGGTTCCCTAGTAGTACCCTCTTCTGCCCTTGTTTCTTGTTGGGCTCCCTCATCAAAATCGAATAGTAGGAAAAGGGTAGCCTCGTTATTAAGGGGCTACTGGGGAACCTAGCTATAGTCTGTAGGCTTTGTAGGCACTCTCTTGCGCACCTGCGAGACATGTGCAAGCAACAGTTGATGTTCCCACTGCCCGGGCATTAGCCAACACTTACATCGCATCGCCATCATACTATCGTTACCCTCAACCCTAAACGACGGCGAAAGAGAGAGAGAAAGAAACCTTAGATCTGAAACCCTATCGTAGCAAGGGCACATGATGCCCCGGCACTTTGCGGTAGTGATCGGGTTGTGCTGTGCTTTGAACTCGCCCTCTATAGCCCTCAGCTCCCGATTTACGGTTTAGGGTTTATAGATCCCCTGACAGTTTTAGTGTTACGGGTTCTGGGCTCTTGACGAATCTACTTTCTCTATCAGTCTTCAGCTGCTGTGGTTCGCGAGGACATCATCTCCTAATGGCGCAGAGCAGATATGCCTCAGTGCCCGGACTGCAGATTTTTTTCACAAGATGACTCAAAGAGTACATTGCACATATGGAGCATGATGACATGAACCGTAAAATCCCTAAACCCCTATGTTCAGCACGGACCCAGTGGAACATGTCAGCATGGGTATACTCATACGGAAGGAGAGGGCAGCTTGAGACTCATGCACACGAGTATATTCATGTCACAACTTCTTGGGTCCGGCCTGAGCATTTCCTTTTGAGCATCGTTATCCCATCTACCTGACTATATCTATTCCTGCGTATGCCTGCGCGTGCAATGCATGTGTTGTTGGCAAGTTGATGCCGGCATGTCGGTGCTTCAGCTGTTTTCGGCACACAGAAGGGAACCACAACTTCCCTCTCCTATGCTCACTACACGACTTCGCCTTAAGCCTTCTTAGCTGCCTTGGTTCATCAGTCTCGATTCTGGGGTGAGGGGGAAAAATAACGGACTCCCCCTCCGAACATCCGCCACTTACTGAAGTGGCGGGTGGCCAATATTTTCCCAAAGTAAATATGCTTAGATGGGTGTATTGCGCATACTGCGGCATGGATGTAGTCGCACATGCGGTCATGTGTTTGCAATTGCGTTTGAATATTCGTCGAAGTTTTTAGTGATTCTTTAATACTTATAACTCTTGCATCTGTACTTAGCATATGTGCATGGCTTATAGCACATTCAATCACGTTTTCTTTTGTCCTGACACTGGCGGGCGCTTGACCTCACTTCCGAATGCTGCCTTCGTCCAGCTCGTATATGCGTGTCATGCCCATGCGCATGCTGTTCTTGTCTAGCAGCCAAGTTTGTGCTTCATTTAATAGAACAGTATGGAACAGATATAGCATGATAGTATAAAACAGAAAATGGTATCAGCGAGCCATGACCTCTTTCGACTCCAATGACTTGTTGGATTGGCACAAGCAGCTGGGTTTAGGGCTTTCGCGTGCTCAGCCATAAGCGTTGGCGTCTGGAGCTTGGCTGAAGGGATCCAGGCGTAGTGCATTGCAGTCTCTGCTCAACAAAAAGGGTTTAGGGTGTTGGGTACCCTAAACCCTAAACCCTAAACCGGCACGTGAGGTGCAGCCAACTGCTACATCCGCCACCTGCATGACGCCCAGCGCTCCTCCGATCCGGTGACGCCTGCGGAGGACGGCCTTGCAATCAACGGCCGTGTCACGCCACAGTCGAAAGGTTTATTATCGCATGTATTTTTGCTGCGAAAGATGAGTTTTAGGCTAGCTGTAGTAGCGAACTACTCTCTCTCACTCTCCGTGTGACGATACAGGTTCTGTAGCGGGAAAATGCAAATCTAAGAGGCTTTGACCGACACGAATCACGAAGTAGTGTCGCTTGCGTTGCCAGGCTACCAGAGTTGTTTGAACCAGGTCGAAGCCTAAGCGAATAAAGCGCCGATACCGTGTCATTCCCGAACATCGGTTTTGGGTTTCGGGGCTTAGGGCTGAAAGTTTTTTGGGGTCCGAAACCTGCAGGAACACGTAGTGTTCCCACGTGCGATCGACGCGGAATCCGCGAGGGTGGGTGGCCGGAAGCAAAGAGTTTTCATGCCTTGCAGCCCCCCAAAAAGTACACTTAGATCCCAAGCCCGTTCCCCTTCTTCGGTTTAGGGTTTAGGCT